GTTTACCAAGTATATATACATTTTAGTACCTAATTTATTGTACTGTACCAGTGGTGGTGGTGGTGGTTGTTGGCTGCTGTTGAGTTGGTCCCGGACTCATGGTGACCTTATGCACAACTGAACAAAATGCTGCCCGGTCCTGCTCCATCCCCATGATCAGTTGTGGATTGGGTCATTGTGATCCATATTTTAATTGACCGATTTTTGAAAGTAGATCACCAGAGCTTTTTCTTCTAGTCCATTTTAGTCTGGAAGCTCTGTTGAAGGCTATTCAGTGTTATAGCAGCATGCAAGCCTCCACTGATGGATGGCGGCTACACATGAGATGCATGCCAGGAATCGAACCCTGGTCTCCCGCATGGAAGGTGAAATTCTACCACTGACCCACCAGTGCCCCTCATGTACCAGTGGTAGGTATTCATAAACGTTATTGATTAATCTATTTTTATAATTTTAAATATATATTTGGGAGTGACCTTCTGGAGTTTGCATGTCTAGAACGCAATCTCTTGCATTTAAGTGATGAAGAAATACAGTGGTTATGATCTGAACAATGCCCTAAAAACTAACATGGAGAATTTAATTCCAGTCCTACTTATAGCTCAACCTCTATCTACACACTATGTGGGAGAAGCCGACTTGTGACTCAGGTTGTCTCTACATTAAATGTACATTGAGTAACCACCGCAGGCATTGGCAAGACTTCTCGTTTTATTGCTGGTGAGATAACGTGTAAGTTTGAAAAATGCACACGCATATAAAAGATGAATATTTAAGATTGTTTATGCTGCTGCTTCCTTAACTCAGTGGAGCCTACAATGTGCCAACTACTACGCTAAATTCTCATAATGTTACTCATTTAACCTTCCTCACAACTGCTCTGAAAACCAAGGTTGGAGCTGGTGGTTCCTGGTGGTTCAAAAAGGTTCATTTGTCTTTGCTGAGATGGCTCTGGGCTCTGGGAGTCCTTTCTGGCCAAAGATAGGAAGAGTTCAAAGTGAAACATTCCTCACTAACATAATGTAATCCGCAAGATTATGTAAGTGGGGATGCACCCTGTTCACCTTACCCCACACAGAAACAGATGTGTGCAAACATGTTTGTCCTTCTTGTATGATATGATACCCTCTGAGAAAACTGAAGACGCTCTGGGATTTTGAAAGTCAGTGAGAGGAACTATTAGCGTAGAGTACTTTTGACTATCAGAAAAGCTAGAATTCTTCTGGAGGCTGTCATCTAACAGGCTAATGTAGCCTAGAGACAGTGAGCGGTCATCTCCTAAAATCTATGCAATGACTCAGAAACCAAAAGAAAAGAGAAGCCCCAGTTTAATAAAACCCAACAGCAGGGATCTAGAGAATCAATAAATGTTGGTTGACGCCCGCAGGGCAAACTTGGAAGCAATGTTACTCCAACTGGAAGACCTTTTTCAGATATTTATTTTTAAACATCAGTCTAAGAAGATGTGTAAAAGTAGAAATAGAAATGCTTAATGGCAGGAGCTTTTTGTGGTGTGGTCAAGAGGCCCCCATGATTCAATACCTCCTCTACTTACCACCTGCCTCCCCCCGGGGGTGGGGGGAGAGACTATGCGTAAGTATTCTAGAGAACCAGTAATTGAAGCAGCAGCCTCTATAGCAACAGAGGAGCAGGTAGGAGGTAGCTGCTGTAGTTTCTGTCTTTTCCTTTCTTTCTCCAAATATCCAGATTTTTAAGTGGAAGTGGTGAGAAAACACAAGCACCAAAAACTTCATTAGGATTTTAGATTGAGGACAGCGATCTGTCTTGTCTCATTTTTGATACAACAGCTCATAACTGGGCTATAACTGAGTCTAAAAATAACATCCAGTACATTAAAATAATATTCTTTGGCTACATTTCCAAAGCGGTATTCTGGGACTTCTGTGCATTAATCCTGTAACAATAACAGGATTTGCGCTTTTACCTCCCCTGGTGTAGCTTTGAAAATCTAGCCTAAAGGAGCGAATGTTGCAGTTTAAATCATCCTCTCAGTATCCCTAGGGAAATGTGGAGATTAAAAAAATGACAACCCAATGGCTCAAATGGCCTGTACCTGGGAGAATAAGAGAAACAACCTATTTCCTCTCAGGAGTAGGGCCAATCAGTATAAATATTGCAGAACGACCATCATGCAATAAAAGCCTTAGAATTGGTCTCCTACTTCTGAGCACCTTGGATATTTCCAGCATGGACTCATCAGGTTTCCCATGGGGGAGGGAGACACGGTGAACGCAGAATAACTGGAACGAAACTGGGTTGTGCATGTGTGTGCATGTGTATGTGTACGTGTGTGCATGCGTATGTGTACACGTGTGTGCATGTGTATGTGTGCATGTGCGTGCATGTGTATGTGTGCGTATGTGCATGTGTGGGTGTACATGTGTGTGCATGTGTATGTGTACGTGTGTGCATGTGTATGTGTACACGTGTGTGCACGTGTGTGTGCGCATGTGTATGTGTGCGTATGTGCATGTGTGGGTGTACATGTGTGTGCATGTCTGTGTGTGCATGTGTGTGCATGTGTATGTATACACGTGTGTGCGTATGTGTACACGTGTGTGCATGTGTGTGTGTGCATGTGCGTGCATGTGTATGTGTGCGTATGTGCATGTGTGGGTGTACATGTGTGTGCATGTCTGTGCGCATGTGTGTGCATGTCTATGTGCGCATGTGTGTGCATGTGTGTGTGCGTGTGTGTGCGTGTCTGTGTACGTGTGTGTGCATGTGTATGTGTGCATGTGTGTGCATGTGTATGTGTGCGCACGTGTGTGTGTGTGAGATAGTGTCTAAGGAAGAAGGGAAGGAAGCCCTTATTATTGTGTGTTTCTGGTAAACATTCTTTTTTCCCTATAGAAACTTGGATGTATCCGAGAAATTACGTGCTGGTAATCATGTCAGCTAAAAGCTACAGATCCTAAAGTTTGCACCCAGCTCTAAATTGAAGCTCTAAATCGATCTCAATTGTAGTGGCAGGAGTTTTTCAATGATACCATTAATTGCATTTTATTGAGAACAAGATCTTTTGTGAAGCTGTGGTTGTGATGGGCTAGATTTAATCAGGTACCACTAACAGCCTAGTGCCGCTTTGGGCCTGCAATGCCTTTGAAATTCTAAAATGGAAAAGGAGGCCAACACACAGAGCAATTATTTCGGAACAGATTGCCCGTTAACATTTCGTAATATCACCGAAATACAGCCTTTCGGGGACAGATACTTGCTTTGGCGAAGAACATCCGAGAGGTGGCAGTACCTCACGCTTTGTAGCTTGCTGCCCTCCCTCCAGACAGCGCAACGCAGAGGGCTCATTATTGCGTCACCTGGAAGTCAGTGTGGGGGGGCTGGGGTAGGGGTAGTGGAGGGGAGATATAGCATTTTCCATCTTAGTTCTTCCAGAGAGTCCAGGAAACAGCTGCACAGAGTGTTTTAAATGGATTTGAGAAGGTTTTTCTTTTTCTATCCTCCCCCCTCTCCAAATCTGCCCTAAGTGATATCTTTCTACGAAGACCACATGGGTACACTTATGTGTTCCTCAGTTCACTCCCTAAGGGAGGAAGGAAGAGTTTCAATTGCCAGAGGTCCCCTGAGACCTCATTTTCAATTGCCTGTACTTGTCTTTTGTAAACACAGGAAGGTGGGATTAAGAAAGCATCATCAACAATCATTTTCTGAGCATGTATATGTTCAAGGCACTGAGCACAGCATGGAGAACGTGAAGATAGAAAAGACACAGTCCTCACCTAGCGCAGTTCTCTTCTTCCCAACCGCTCTCTCAGCCCCCATCACCCCTTCTCATGCTAAAAATATTCTATAGAACAAGTAGCCGTTGGGACAGCAGCAACACCTGCACAAATAAGTTACTACATAACCTGACATGCTAAGTGTCAAATGCCTGGGATGAAGCTGACCCGGGTGAGGGGACATCAGGGCTGGTCTAGACTAACCAGCACCCAGGTGTCTGTGGAGCCTGGCTCTCTTCACGTGTGCTAGTCAGTTTGGGCGTGAGAGCTGGGACACACTGAGGCAACCTTGCTGATGGGTTTACTGCCAGGATACGAGACACAGGACTGTCATGGGGCGTTAGTCTCCAGGGAAGTTCACAGGGAAATGAGCTGGGTTCTGTAATGGTCTGGAGTCCAGAGAAGCTTAGCCGTGGGCGTTCCTGCTCCTACCCCACCCATCATAGTGACTCAGCCACTTGGACTCTGCACCACAACTGCTGCCCCCAGCTGGGCCTTGCCTTCAACTCTGTGCATCTTTTCATTAGTTCATTTCTTCAGCTTAGTCTTAACTTTGCACTCTCCTATCCACTGCCCCATAGCTTTCCTACATGGCGCTGGCTCTCTGCATACCTCTTTTCACCTTCTGTTCTTACTAACAAGTGAATGACTACCTACCCGTTCAATTTTGAAAGAGAAAGAGAGGTTTAATTGGCTCAGTTAATTGCATGTCCCTAGCTGGACAGAACTTTGGAGGTGAGGCCACCTCCCAGGGGATGAGCTAGGCTATGACTGGCTGCCCTTGAGTCATCTTTACCAAAGACTTGCCCAGAGCTGCTCCCCAGCCTGGACTGAGGGAATGACCACTCCATTTGGGAGGACTGTGGATGAGGTAGCCACCGACTTTGATATTTCACCCCTTTCTTCATACAAGGGAAGGAGCAGCAGTGTTGTTTCAGGCTCAGTGCTGCTGGGTATCCTGGTGTCAGGGTACTTCTACCCTGGCAAACTAAACCCGCTGCTGTCAAGTTGATTCCTACTCATGGTGACCCCATGTGTTAGAGTAGAACTAAGTTTCATAGGGTTTTCTTGGCTGTAATCTTTATGGAGGCAGATCGATAGGCCTTTCTGCTGGGTGGGTTTGAACGGCGAACCTTTTGGTTAGTAGCCAAACACAAGTTGTTTGTACCACCAGAGGCTACCCTGGGGGGTTCCTCAAACTCTGGTAAGAGATGAATTCTTAACCTCTCTCCTTCTTTGCAGGAGTTCAATCACGCAGCTTGGAGAATGCACTGAATGTTGATAATTTACACCTAACCTTCGATGATTCCAGAAACTTGGAGAGAAGGGTACAGAACTTCCATTTGAACCATGAAGTTGTGGCATTTTGTATAGAACGGGTTTGTTTGGGCCTGACTTGGGGAGGAAGGTGGTGGGAATTGATACCAAAATCTTCGTGATAATCAAGTCTTCCTTAATAAGATCTCAAACTTATGTTTTAATACAAAGACAAATTCCCAGTGTGCTACCTCTAGGTGCCCTGACATATGCAGCAATGAGCCTCTCACTTGTTGTCCAATGGGTTGGCAGCATCCCTGGTTGCTACAGTCAGGCCATCTGGAGCAGGGGTGAGGGGGGCCTGTGGGATATGATGGCCTGATAGCTTCTGCAGTTTCTTGGCCTTGGCCTTTGCCTTTGCCTTCGCCTTCCTCTAGTCCTTCCACCATTACACGGAAGGCATGTTGGCAAAACAAGACAAGACCCACGAGGTAGCTTATTGGCTTTTGGCCACTTCCAATTTAGCCACCAAGAACTTGAGATCTTTCTCCTTCAGGTGTTTGCCCTGAGAGCATGGACTTCACCTCCATCTCTTCTACTTGCAGCCAGTCTCAGCCATAAGGAACTGATAGGAATATATTAACTGATAGGATGAAGCAGGGTACAAAGAATGGCTAGGTTTTCAGAGGCGATTGAGTCACCTTGGTGCACCTATAGGGATTTCTCTGCATGGTGATTTTGGGCACTTATTATGCTGATTTATGCATCACATTTATCATTATCCTAAACTTTTATTTTCAGATTTTATTTGACTTTCCTGATGTTAAGTTTAAGCTCACTAATTACACTGTAAGTTCCTTGAAAGAAAGAAGGGGCTTCCACATAACAAAGGAGTAGGCAAGCAATGGATATTTCTTAAGTTGATTTGACTCAATCTCAATTTTATGTTCAGTTCAGAAGATGTCTTATGGACTGTAATGAATCTAGGTACTTTCCAGTAATCTATTGTAAATCTGAATGAATAGATTAATTTTGAGCAATTTTCCAATTTTAACCTTCCTTTGCTCACTCCACGAAGAATATAACCCCAGGCACTGATTTTTCAGAGACTCAGATTTATGATAGGATTCCAAATGTCTAGAATTTTTCAGCTTTTAACTTAGACTTTCACTTTGTCTTCTAGTTAACCCCCTCCTCCACTGTTATGGATTGCATTGTGTCTCCCAAAAATGTGTGTCAACTTGGTTAGGCCATTATTCCCAGTATTGTGTAGTCATTCTCCATTTCATGATCTGATATAATTATCCTGTGTGTTGTAAATCTTAACTCTATGATGTTCATGAGGCAGGATTAGTGATAGTTATGTTAATGAGGCAGGACACAATCTACAGGACAGTGTCTTGAGTCAATCTCTTTTGAGATAAAAAAGAGAGAAGTGAGCAGAGAAGAGAGGGAGCTCATTATCACTAAGCAAGAAGAGCCAGGAGCAGAGTGCGTTCTTTGGACCTGGGGTCCCTGCAGCGAGAAGCTCCTAGACCAGGGGAAGACTAATGACAAAGACTTTCTCCCAGAGCTGACAGAGAGAGAAAGCCTTCCTCTGGAGCTGGCACCCTGAATTCGGACTTCTAGCTTCCTAGACTGTGAGAGAATAAATTTCTGTTTGTTAAAGCCATCCACTTGTGGTATTTCTATTATAGCAGCATTAGATAACTAAGACATCCCCTGTGGCACAGTGGTTAAGTGTTTGGCTGCTAACCAAAAGGTCGGCAGTTCAAATCCAGCAACCACTCCTTGGAAACCCTATGGGGTAGTTCTACTCTGTCATATAGGGTCGCTATGAGTCGGAATTGACTCAATGTCAACGTGTTTGGTTTTTTTTGGTTTTATATCAGTTAGAATATGCGAAGCTATACTATGGTAACAACAGCTTCTAAAACTCAGTGGGGATTCTGCTTGACAGAGTGACTCTGGGACCCAGCTGACAAGCAGTCTGCCATCTCAACGTGTGCTATGGAACTGTTGAGAAGAGCATCAATAACTGGGCACCGTCTCTTAAATGCTTCCACCTAGAAGGGGTACACATTACATCTAATCATATGTCATTGGTCAAAGTAAGTCACATGGCCATGCTTCACCTGAAGGGGATGGAAAAGTGCAATTCTTCTGTGTGCCTGGGAAGACAGGAGAAGGGACCATCATATTTTGACCACACCTCCGCAGAGAGCTTGGAAGTTGCTGCCTTCTAGTTCTTTCGTGAAACATGGAACCCTTGGACTAAATATAGACACTTTACCCTTTGGGGTTCACAGCAATTAAAAAACAAAATAAACTTATAATAAGGATGATTTACTGGGGACGTTGATGGTTCAGTGGTAAAATTCTTGCCTTCCAGACAGGAAACCTGGGTTTGATTTCTGGCCAACGCATCTCATGTGCAGCCAACACCCGTCAGCCAGTGGAGGCTTGCAGGTTGCTATGATGCTGAACAGGTTTCAGTGGAGCTTCCACACTATGATGGACTAGGAAGAAAGCCCTGGCAATCTACTTTTGAAAATCAACCAAGGAAAACCCTATGAATCACAATGGTCCAATCTGAAACCGATCATGGATATGGCGTAGGACCAAGCAGTGTTTTGTTCCATTGTATATGGGGTCACTATGACTTGAGGGCTGATTTGACCACAGCTAACAACAAGGATGATTTACTTCAATAACAATGGTTTTTCTATATTATATGAATACCAGGTTTTCTTTCTTTTGTTTCCCCTCAAATCAGTGATCAGAATAATCTGTTGCAGCACTTAATGCTGTCTTCAAATAGAGGGCTGATGTAAGCAATTTGACATGTTTACAGTTGCCAGGCTGCTCATGATTCTGATGCTTCCTACACATCACAAGCACTCAAAGGTCCAACAACTTAAAAGACACCCCATCTTGATGGAGCACGGTCACTCAGGCTTTAATTTCAGAGCCATTCTCTGCTGGGCTGTGGGGATCTGCTCTTCATATTCCCTGCCCTGTGGCTGATTTGACTCTGTCCATCACAAAGCAAGACCTCAAGTTTTTCAAAAGCAGGCAGGTAGTTCCTCAGCAAAGGTCATCCTACTCAATCACCCCTTTACCTTCAAATAATTAATTCTAACCATAAGAATGTGAAGTTCATTCACAAATGTCATGAATTTGGTAGTCAACTCTCTTTTAACAAAAGTCAATGGACTGTTACTCTGACATGCCAGGTAAGAGCCAACATTGCATGATTGAAAAAGCCTTTGAATTAGATTCAAAAGACTGGTTCAAGTCTCAACTCTGCCATGTTCCAGCTGTGTTACCTTAGAAAAATCACTTGGCCTCTCTGACCTTTCATTGATAAAATTAGAATAATTACACCTCCCAGGAAGGAGTTTTCTGTTAATAAAATGTAAATTATAACACCTCTCAAGATTGTAAGGATTTAAATTATTTTGACTAAGATAATTTCTGGGCAAAATATATATGTATAAGTCTATATATCCCAAGCTGGGAACTACTTCCCTCCTTTTTTGCTTGCTAATTAAGAGTCATAAATAAAATGCTGACGAGCTGCAGTCTGCCGTCTGTGCTGTAGCTGGAGGGCTGTTTTGACTTTGCCTGACAAATGGCTAACCAGCCGCTCCCACCATGCCCAACTCTTGTGTTCAGCACTGAGAAATCCAGCTACTGCCAACAGCATCTTATAAACTTGTCACTATTTACTTTTTTGGTGACAGTGTTTTTGTTCAGTGATCATTCCTGAGATTTCACCCATCAGGGTGTGTCTGCTTCCCTCAAAATGCGAAAACTTCATTTAAATACAATCCTTTCCCAAACTGCACAAAAATAGTGAACGTCTCTAAGTGAGACTTGGCACCTTTGCAGTTCATCCCCATTTGCAATGCAGTTGGGGTTGGATGTTGTCTTTACAGAGCAGTCACTGTACATGTGTGGGGCTTTATTAAATGGACATAAACTTCAGAGTGGCTTCAATAAGCTGCTAGGCAAGACTTCCCAGTCAACCCGCCCAGTGGTGTGCTGGAGCCAGCTCATACCAACTTTTGAGAACTGATGGCTAAATTTTCTGGAATTTTGCAAACTGGCTAATATCATGTTAGTAGCTTGAAATCAGCTGTTGTGGGAGTATTTACACCATGGAAATTAGCAAACACTACAAATCAGGCTTTTCCTCCAGAGAAAAGTTGCTGAACATTACCACCCCCACACTGTAGAGTATACCCATGTCTTTGTGCACCTGGATCAAACCCAGATGCAACTGAGTATGAGGGAAGGGACATCCCAAACCAGAAGTAGAAATAAAACTATGGTGCTGGATTAGCGGAGAAGGAGAACTAATTTTTCTTTTGTCCCTGCCCTGTGGCAGGGTCTATGCCAGCCCAGGCTGGGACTGACACACGTCGGGAGGTATCTAGCAAATTATTGGGGTGAGCCTGCCAGAAATGTGTTCATAAGAAGCATAGGGAGCCTTCCAGGAGCCTGACTCAAAACTGGTCATTGGAGCAGAGGGATATTGCTAGGTAGGGCACACTGCTTGTCATGTCACTTGGGTTTCAGTCCAGACCCTAGCTGAGACTTGTGGATGGGTAGGTAGGGGGAGATCTCTAAGTAAAAACTAAGAAGGCTGCTTCAGGAAAGCTCTATAGTACCTGCTGGCATTGTTTGGATTGAAATCTTGTTTGTTCCAGGGCCTCTGCTGAGCAGAGATACTCTATGTCCAGGGACATCAGGGACGTGGCTGATGCACTGAGGCTCAGTGAAAAGGGCTTGTTTGTGAGTACTTTTACAAGAGAACTTTGAAGAGGGCCACAGTTCTCTGTGAGCAGATATGAGCAAGGGCCAGTAGAATTTATGTGATCCCATAGATACCTCAGACTGGTAAGGCAAGGGGGATACTGGTTGTACCTATCCATTATCCATTGCTGTTGAGTCGATTCTGACTCATAGTGACCCTATAGGACAGAGTAGCACTGCCCCATCGAGTTTCCAAGTAGCGCCTGGTGGATTCAAACTGCTGACCTTTTGGTTAGCAGCCATAACGCTT